CTGCAGATGCATCTTCTAAGGAGCTGACAAAAGATGACAAGCTGTCCAAATCAGTCACTCTTGAAGATCTATAATTGACATGTCTATGAATTTTTGTGATCCTACCCAAGAAGAAGACGACACAATGCTATGTTCTGCCGTACAACAAAAACATTGGAAAAAAGACTTAGGATATTAACACAACCATTTAGATCTTCTCTGAATGTATGTTACATTGCAATGCTCCACAGACAGACATCACAAAAGATGTATCCGGTAAGATGGGGCTGCTAGAACTTCAAAAGGACAGATCATGTCAATTCCAGGGATTCAATGCAGATTTGTGTAATTTATATCTTTAGCAAGTGTCTTGCAAAGCCTCATAAATATATTAATTAAGAAAATTCCTTTTCAATTAATTGCACGATATACATCACGTGATGTATACACTACTGAATAACCACTATGGTCAATGGCATTTCACTGGAAGAAAACCTTTATATTAGATGCAACAATGTAAGGAAGGAATTAACCATGACCTTGTCTGTTTTCTCTGTTTGTGTCAGTTGGTCTAATAAAATTATTGCCTCTTCCTATAGATCTTGCTTATGTGTAGCATTTGTATTTTCCATGGGGATCCTCTGAATGAAAAATGTCATCTGATAGCATCGTAAATTATAGGGCTGTTACTGCAGTCTTACGCAGTTATGTTAATGCAGTCTTATTAACATCATAGTTTGACATCTAAGATCAAACCAAAGAAATTCATGACCTGTAATCAAATATTAGCTCTAGGTTTTGGCTTCCCACCTCTCCCCCCCCAAAGCCTGCTTCTTTTATAACTTTGTTATGCACAGACTTAATAATAATACACTTGAAAACTCAAGAGGACTCAGCGAGGAGGGGAAAAACATACTAAACAGACAACGTAACTTCACACTCAGGTTGGGTTTTCTACTGTTTTTTTCTGTCTCTCCTTACTGTTGCAAACTGCACTTATAGTATGGACAACACAAAATGCAAAGAAACAAAGTATTTAACATGCCCTAAAGAGAAGACAGATATTCACTGAATACTGACCATAGGTGGATGTCTTGGTGTGTAGTCATAACATAATAAAACCTGAAGGGTGTCTCCTGTTCCCTCCTTGTAATGCCAATCTTCCTGTGAGAGTTTTTTTCATTACTGAACCTTTCCCTAGATGGTAAAAAAAATGCTGACCAGTTGCCTGAGCTATGGGGAATCTCACTGGCTTTTTCCCAGTCCCTCGTCTTCAGAGGAAAGCAGACAGGACCTAATTAAATAAATACTAAACTGTCAGCTCTTTTTAAAAACTATGCCAAATGCCAGCAATGTAACCTTGAAATTAATATGTATCATTATGAAACACAACTAGCCTCTGGCTTCTCCTTCTGAAACTGTCCCACATGTTGAACAAAACCATTTTCGTTTCATAGTTTCAGAGAAGAGTAAGAAAGTTTAAAAGAAGGCAAAGGCACAATAAAAGAAGCAAAGAGATGGGAAGTTATAGCTTCAATATTAATGGAAAGTGATGGAATTCCTAGCAAATATTGTAATTGTATTTTGAATTTAAGAGCTGACTTCGTTAAACTTTTTACTAAAGAATTCAGCATACCTGTAACAAAGAGCAAGTGCTGTCAACTCACGTGGGGGTAGCTGATAAATATCTAACAAAACCTCTGAAGATAAACATTTAGAGAATAATTAATTTCTTATATTATTAACATTTAGAGAAGCTGGATTCAATGATTCTAACTACAAACATGCATGTACTTCTGCAAAACTACACCTTTGCTTGCTATTAGGCTTAAGTCAGGATCTTGCTGTCAGATGCTCTGTCAGGGAAGGAGTAAGAAAGCATCATCACATGCTCTTCATTTTTAAGTAGCTCTTCCCAAGAGGCAACCTTCTACTCTGCAGTAAGAGACTGGGTTGCTTATATTTGGAGAAGACTTTTTCCTTTATTTCACCAGAAACTACTTATTTTAAGATTAGAAACAGTAATTGCCAGTTTAGTTGCAAAATCAAGACTCTTCATATAACAAAAACACTGCCCCTACCTAATACACATTCAGGGTCTGGCCACCTGGTGGCTTCTGAGTGTTAGGGCTAAGCAGTGGTAAAAACAATGCAATTAGAAGACAGCTATTACTATTACAACCAAAGAGAACACAGAGAGCACAATTATGTACATACATATCAGCAGGGATGTTACTGCACTGCTGATACCATTAAGCTCCATACAACATGAATGAATAACAACTCTGCATTTA